GCCTCTGACAGCACCTTTGTGGGCCCAGGTGGTGCTGTCATAAAGCCCAGAAATACTGTTGGTCTAAACCCACCCCTGCTGCTCCTTGGGAGAAAGATGTAGCAGGATGCTTCTGGATAGATACAATGCTTTGGAAACCATATGGCGTAATCCTGCCCAGCCCTGGAGGGGCACTAAGAGTTAAAATGGACTCAATGGCAGCAAGTTTATGTTTGGGGGCTTTGGTACCTTACGGAGGATACTGAAGAAGTAAGTCCAGGGGACACTCACAAGTTCTATAACTAAGAATGCTTCTCTATTGTGCACCCCTTTTGTCAATGTGGCAAACCATTGTGGCGGTCTGCTTTGGCCCTCCCCATAGCCAGTTCTCTGCCCAGAACCTTTGTTTAGGAATATTTCCCAATATCCTAGTCACTACAGAGGGCTTGGATGGGCTGTCCTGTCCTGCACAGCCTTCAACACAAGGGGTCTTCCATGTGCTTCTGACCCCCTCCCTCCCTAGAGCCACACTTTCAGGAGAGGAAGTCTGCGACTGCCCCTGGGTAGGACTTCCCCCAAAGAGAACCAGTTCTTTGTGAGCACAGCAGTGAGCGCTAATGCCAGGTACTTAAATGAGCTGTAAAGCCACAATGACAACAATGTGGTTCTCTGTGCTATTGCATTTAAAATGACATTATTAATGATATTCTCCACATATGTTTATAGATACATGGAAGGCTTCAAAAATAACATTAATGCTACAGTTAGAAGCATTACTATTATTATTTTTAAAATCATTTTATTGGGGGGGCTCTTACAATTCTTATAACTATCATTCAATTTTATTAAGTGTTAACATAGTGATGCACACATATGAATATACTCAGAGGAGGATGGAGGCCAGGACTGGAAGACTCTTTTGAACAAAACTCAAAGAAACTCCCTGCCATCCAGTCCTTACTGACTGCTAGCCAACCTATAGGACAGAGCAGGACTGCTGGGGTGGGGGGTGTTTTGAGACTGTACTCTTTACAGGAGCAGCCAGCCTCATCTTTCTCCCAAGGAGTGGGCTGAGGTTTTGAACTCTCACTTCCCTTGCATAACCTACCAGTACTCCCTTTCATTTGACCAATACTAAATGATCACAACTACATATATTGAGTTCCTGCTCTGGGTCAAGGTCAGTGGATGCCCAAGTTAGAGATGGGAAAGACCTGCCTGAAGAACTCAGAATTCAGTAGAACTACATGCAAGATACCCACAGGGCTTGCAACTGGAAAAAGAATGTGGGAGGAGTTATGTGAAACATAGATTTAAAAAAAGAATGGAAATACACAGGAAGAGCATTTACTACTGATTCTTTGTAAGTACTCATATTTGAACCGATTCTTGGAATGTGGGGAGAGGTCTATAGATAAATATGGAACCAACTGCCCCTACTAACTGTAGTCTAGGTGATTCTCATGCAGAGCAACAGAACTGCTCCAGAGAGCAGCTGGTGGGCTGGAACTGCTGACCTTGCCTTGACCGGCTCAATGTCTCACCCACAAACCCACAGTGCCCCCGGACCCTTAGCTAGATACGAAAGGAAAAGTAATTTAAAGCAGAGGACCCTATGGAGGCATGGAAGCAGGACCCTTCAGGAAAAACACTAGATGCAATTTGCCATAAATGTCAGGATGCACAGTTGTCAAAAGCTGGCCGTTCTTTTTAGCTCTCCTCCATTCCTATTGGATCAACACTCAAGGGGTGGGTTCAGCAATCTATGTGTAGTCCTTGAGGTACTCAGGCATGCTGGTTCCAGGGTCACGATTATAGACTTGGGGAGCCCGGTGGCACAGTGAAAGAGCCTTGGCGGTCCCGTGGTTATGTGGTTACAGACTGTACTTCACTGCTTTGGAGAAGAGCTGAGACAATGTGCTGCTGTGAAGAGCCCAGCCCTGTGGGACAGCCCAACTCTGCCCTAGAAGGTGGCTAGGAGTTGGAATCAAATCAACACGATGAGGATAAGAATTGCTGATTTTAGAAAAGATGTCTATCAAAACCTTTTTCCCCACTAGGCATCAGAGAGAAGCATTTTGTCGTCTACATATGCCTGGTCAGGAGGCTCTTTTGTGATGGGGCTTAAGGGTTACCTCGCTTTCTCCCGTGAGCTTCACGCTATACAAATCATACTGCTTCCACCGCTATAAACTAGGGTTACCTTTGGAAATTATTTTTAGATTCATCTGGTTCCTTTTTAGGAGGCAAGAAAGAAGAGGCTGGAAAAAGGAGGAGCTGAAGATAAGCCCAGAGTTTAGACCTGAACTTGAGAGAGAATGCAGACATGATGGGATATTGTGACCATGGCTCTAAAAGAGTTTGATCTGGGGCAGATTAGATGAAGGTGACCAAACGGGAAAGGAAGATTTGGATCCTGCCCTAGACTATGTGACAGTTGGAACAATGGGAGAGGATATGACGGGAAAGAATAGAAAATCATAACAAGGATAGACTCCAGAGAAGTTGTTTGAGACAAGGATTTGATGATTGAGAAAGAAGAAGAAATAGCCAGAGATGAGGGTGAAGATTCAAGAGGTTATCATATTAAATTCTGTAATTGTATCACTTACTAAGTATATGGGATAAATTGACAATGCCTTTGATCAGATTCCAACAACTGCCCGGAAGCAATCCATCTGCACACAAGTGAGCCGAGAGGGAAATTGAGTGTTAAAACAGTCACTTGGATTCACATAAAAGCTGGCTCTAATGCAGTTGTTCTCAGTGTATGAAACAGCTGTTGCACTTGGGATTTTATCTCCATGAAAGGTATAGTTACTCATCCGGGATGGTAGACAGTGAGCAGATCACAGAATTTAAAAGGAGGAAAGGAAATCTTACACTTGCCAGGGTCAGATAAGCTTGCACAAGTCTAATGTGGTTCCATTGAACTGATATCATAATGACTCAGAAATATCATCTGAGGGATGAATTAGTCATTAAGAAATGAAATTTATTTGTTAGCTAGAAGACTTCTAAAATATAGCTAAAAATAACAAAGGCAAAAAGACAAACTAAAAGACTTGGTAAACCCAGTCCATTGTCATTGAGTCAATTCTGATTCATAGCAATCTTTCAGAAATAGAACTGCTCTATGGGATTTCTGAGACAGAATCTTTATTGGAGCAGAAAACCTCATCTGTCACTGATCGCTTTGAACTGCTAACTTTTTGTTAGCTGAACACTGTAATCAATGCACCATCAAGCTTCCTGGAAAAACCTATTAAAACCAGATTAAACCCACTGCCATCCAATCACTTCCAATGCTCCCTAGAATTTCTGAGACTATACATCTCAAAGGGAGTAGGCAGCCTCATCTTTTTCCCATGGACCTGCAAGTGTGTTTGAACCACCAACCTTGTGGTGCACTACTAGAGCTCCTTAAAAAGTCTACTCCCAATCCCAAATCTATTGCCATTGAGTCCATTCAGACTCACAGCAACTATGAGATTGTAAATCTTTACTGAAGTAGTCTCATCTTTCTCCAGCAGTGTGGCTGGTGGTTTTGAACCACAGACCTTGCAGTTAGTAACCCAGTGACTAACCAGATAGAAAATCAAACTTACTGCCATCAAGTTGATTCTGACTCAAAGCAATTCCATAGCACAGAGTAGAACTGCCCCATCTTATATGTCTGAACATATTTATGGGACAGCTTCATCTTTCTTCCATGGAGCTGCTGGTGGATTTGAACCACTAACATTGGAGTTAACAACTCAATGCATAGCCCACTATGCACTAGGGTTCCTTAATACCTAACAGAATCATGTAAAAAAGTAAGTATCCCAGATGTTAGGCAATAGGGTTTGCTGGGGACTGAGCAAAACTAGAATGCCATTATCCTTGTTCAAGGGAGAAAACCAGTTGATTAGTTAGTGCCATGCAAATGCAAGCCTGGTGTGGACAGAGCTGATGTCTCCAATATATGCTCCACATATTTGCCATCTTAAGTTTCATTTAAAAATTATAAATACAATAATCCATTAAGCAAATAAAACAGCTGGCCTGAACTCTTACCAGTTTTCAATTCCTGGCCCAGAGACTAAATATCTCTTAAACTAAATTGGATGGAGAGTTTCTTAGTGAAGTAAACATTTGATCCAAAAAGGTGAACAGATTTTTTTCTTCATTCTTTGCTGGCAACTTCCTTTTAGAAGTTCCAAACCACAGGGATGCGGAAAGGGAGGAATAAGTATTAAGATGGAAATATACAACTTTAAAATACAAATGGACTTATTGAGATTTACTCTAGTAAATAAAAAACAATACTTCTAAGTCCAGGAGAAGAAAATATCAAGTTTAAAAAAAGTTTTCTAAGAATAAATAAGAAAATTTCATATTAAATTTTTACTTAGAATAATTTTTAAGTATGCTTTTAACATGCAATAGTCTAGCTAGCATCAGTATAAAAAAGAAACAAAAAACAACTCACCAAGATTTTTAAGATGTGTTTTAATTTTAACCTCATATTTGAAAGTTCCTGGGTTTGGAGTTACTCTAATGTAAGACAAAAAAATAAATTCTGCAAATGTTTCTTTTTTCTTTTATGTCTACAATGTGCGTGTTATCAGGTCTTATCTGAACACAAATATCCCTTTCTACTGGGATTTTGGAATATCACCCCTGAACCATGATTACTATATTTCATTTAGACTAAAATTCGCATTACAGGACATTGCAGCCGCTTGGAGAGCAGGGTGCATTTTAGCACTGGCCGTGTCTTGCAATAGCTATCCACAGCGTGACTATGTAATAGCCATTCAAATAATCTTGTGGTCTCTGCTCAGCTGTGTGCTGTTGGTACTACACACAGGAAGATGTATTGCCACTCAACATACCTTTTTTAAAATGGTGCCGCTAAGTTGATAAACCATGCATGCAGCAATTCTTGTAACATCTGTAAGTCTAAAATGATTTGAAAGCAAAGGAACAAAGATGCCTTTTGAAAGATCATGCTGCGATTCCGCACGAGAGCAGACAGTCACTGTGGATACAGACAAGCACAAAACAGAGCCGCGGGGAACAAATGGATGTCAGTGAAGCAGATTTTCATCGGCACAGCAATGGGTTTTCACGTTTTGCTACAGTGTTTTCCAGGACGGAGCAGGTAGTGCTGTGTGGCATTTTAAACCGAGGTACACGCAAACAAAGAGGGAAAGAAAGAACCCCATGCCTTTCACAGGCCAAGCCAGGCAACGAAAGGCAAAAGATGCTGCTAATTTCTTGGAATAGATGAGTCGTATCAAAGCAGAGGCAGATGTGGCAAGACAATCATTCAAAAATACATGAGACAGAGTTGACTTTGCAGCATGCTTTTCTTTCTTAACAAACATAAGGGGAAAAAAGCAAACAAACCCAGGTACCATCAAACTGATAGTATTTTAGATGTGACTGAAATATGCAAACTGCAGTATTGGTCAAGGTGTTGGATTTTTGCAGTTATTCTCACGAATTTATCTTTCTGGCTTTTGCCGACCCTAAGGCTGCATCGTTCGGCTATGAAAACAATAACCACTCCTTCCATTGCACGCGCCATGAGGAAGAGCCCGCAGCCCTGATCCTCTTTACCTTGTCAGTACCTGACACCTGGGGTGTCATAACTAGGTGTATTTACTGCATAAATATGTGTTGCATTGTTGGGTGGGAATGGAACATATTCTGGGAAAGCAGATTTTTATCAGTGGAGCAGGGAATTGGTTCAAATGATCATTTGTATTTCATTTTCTTTTCTACTTGGGAGTCTACTTTCTCCCCCTTCCTGGTGATTTCAAACAAAACAAACTGCACTTCCTTTCTCTTCTTTGAGATAATGTTATTTTCCGACTGCATAGCCACCATGGCAGTTGGATAGGTATTAGCAGTAACTGGTTATGGAACAAATGGTAGAGCTAATTTTTTTTATCAAAACAGGTCCCTAATCCACCCCATATAGAAGCCCAGCATCGGGGGCAGAAGAACAGGTACAGAAAGCATTGAGGCTGTGTCCAAGGGCAGGGGAAGGACTCCTGCTTGACCTTGTGTGACCTTCTACCCTGGCCCCTGACCAAAGAGAATCAATAAACCTCTTCATCACAGATGGAAGTCTCCTTTCACTTAGAAAAATGAAGTGTTGATAATTCTGCATTACTAAGAAATGGGAATATAGGACATGCATAGGTATCCTGGAGCTTCAAATGGTTCATGGAGAAATTCCATTATTTTTAAATTCCATTTTCCAGGGACATTTTAAAGCTTCCTCTTATGTGTGTGCATAAATAAGTAATAAATAAATAAATATCTTAGAATATAAACCTCTTTAAAATGGAAAAAGAATGGATTTACATGCAAATTTATTTAAAATGTCTTGGGAAAACTTGGAATCTTTATAATAAATCAGAAATCTTTATAATATATTGAAACATTTTAAAAAGAAAATTTTACCAATGCAACCTCTTGGCTAAGTTTGTAATGAGATACTAAGAGAATACAGTTAAATATCAATCACCTATGGCCCTTGTACACACACCTCCCTACCTCCCTAAATGCCTTCATAGTAAGGGCAAAAATAACGAAGTTCTGCCAGTTTAATAGCTGTCGAAGCCCACCCCTCCCCTATCAATAGTGAAAAATAGTAAATATTAAAATGGAAATATAGTAACATATTTCAAAATTCCATTCAGAAAAAAGATTAAAAAGAAAAAGAAAACTCCATTCATTCACGGACAAACTGACCCAAAGTTTACCACTGGTTTGCTTTCCTAAAAACAAAGAGAATCGGTGTGATTACAGGTCACTCGTCATCCACTATAAAAGAGCCAACTGTTTCTAAACTTTTTGAAGACTCTCAGTTATCGACACAAGAGCAGCCGAATTAGAGCGTGCTCTGGTTTCTCCCTCACAGACAGGCCTCTCCGGCTGGCGGGCTGGCGGCTGGCTAGGTGTTTCCCTGAAGATGCTTTCCTGGGGTTCAGAATAGCAGGTGGGGGGGCCCTAGGTGACTCAAAATCTTAGCGAGTGCTGACAGTAAGGTTGGGGCTCTGCTTCTGAAAGGTCACAGCCGAACCGGGGGTGAAGCCAGCTTGACCCTGAACTCTGAACTGGGTTTCAGGTCCACTCCAGCACTTCCCCAGCGCATCCCTGATGGGGCTGTCAAGATGACTACGAGTTACCCCTGATCAAATCTGACCCCGCTCCATACACGTCATGAAGTGAAGACGATGTTTACCTGTTGGGACAACCAGATCATTTGCTAGGTCCTGGCTACTCTCTGGCGCAGACTAGCTCAGCCACAGCTAGAGGACGTCACCTGTGCTTAAAATGAGCGGGGTGGGGGTGGGGGTGGGTGGGGGGCAGGTTTGCGGTCTCCCGGAGCTGCTCCCCGGTTGGTTCTGCCCCTTCTACTCACAGGTTTGAGATAGGCAACGTTGCTGTGGCGGATGTCGTTCAGGAGCTGGTCTCGGGGCGTGATCTCCACCAGCGGCGGCGGCCTGTTCCTGGGCACGGGCTTCAGGGTTCTGATCACGTCCTTCAGGTTGGTTTTCTCCGCGGACTCCCGGGCGTCTGCCAGGCGGGGTTTTCGCTGGATTCGCTTGAGCTTCACCACCCGGAAGGAGTCGGGGTCAACCCCGTGCTGCGGAGACTGCGCCGACGGCGGCTTTGGGGGTTCGCCGCGGTGACTGGCCGGCACTGCCCGCGGGCTGGGAGGCCCCGGAAGAGGCTGCAGGAACTCCTGCATCCTCAGATCGGGCATCGGTCCCCCCAGCATCTCCCACATGCCCGGGGGCAGCCCCAGGCCGTTCTCCAGCATGGCTATTAACTGCCTCTGCTCTTTCAGTTGCTGCTGCTTTTGATCTTCCAGCCTTCTCTGCCTCTGCTTGTCCTGGTTGCGGGTGAGCAGGTTGGTGACCACCATCCTGGGGCCCGGCAGCTCGAAGTGGTAGCCCATCTTGAGGAGGGTGCTGTTGGCCTTCAGCAGCCTGGCGATTTCCATCTCGGCCTGGTGGCCCAGCAGGTGCCGCTGGTTGTGAAACCGGAGCTCGGCCAGCGTCTCGTTGAACTGCAGGCAGCGCATGATGGCCACGATGCCTTTGCCGCTGATGGCATTGGACTCGATGTTGAGCGTGCTGATGCTCCGGTTTTCTCGCAGCATGTTCGCCAAGGCAAACGCCACGTTCTCATCCGCCCCCACGTTCGCTAGGCTGAAGGCTTTGACGTGCTTGTTTTTCTTCATGGCGTTGACGAAGTCCAGGAGCATTTCTTTGGGGATGTTTTCAATGTTGTTCAGGTTGAGTTCCGTCATGTCGGGATCATTTTGCCGGACTCGCCGCAAACTTCCATCCAGGTCTGTCTGGTTTCCGGACGGCCTTGCACTGACCTTCAAAAAACTGGTATCTAAAGCAAGCTTCTTGGGGTCTAACTTTGAGATTTTTTTCTCACTTTTTTCTTGGGTCTCTGATCCGTCTTTCTGTTTTTCCAAGGTTTTGGTAGTCATCTGTTGGCAGTCGCCCTCGCCGTTTAGAATTTGCGCCTTTGTTTCACCTTTAGTTTTCCCATCACTTTCTTCACCATCATCTGTTTCTTCTTCTTCTTCCTCCTCCTCCTCCTCCTCTTCTTCTTCTTCTTCTTCGCTTTCATTATTATCTGTTTCTTGAACACTGTTATTGCCCGTTGGTTCTCTTTTATCTGCACCTATGTCACTGTTAAGCTTTTCTTTTAAAAACCCGGACACGTTTTGATTGTGTCTGGCGATTGCTTGCTGCTGTTCTTGTGTGGTCTCCTAAAAGAGAGGTTTGGGAAGGTTAGAATAATTGTTAGTTAAGAAATATTAAATCGGTATTTATTAGGAAAAATCCGAAAAGTAATTACAGTGAGTGAAAAACAACCTAATAAACAGCATGAAAGGGTTTCAAAAATTGTGGGGAAATGGAATTAAAAGAGTATGAACAATGTCTACACGTTTCTGAGATACTTTAGACATATTGTCAGGAGACACCAGTCCCTGAAGGGCAGATATCGTGTTGGATAAAGTGTATGGCTCATGCAAAAAGAGGAAGACCCTTAATGGGAGGGATGGACACAGTGACCGTATCATTGGGCGCGGGCACAGGGACAACTGTGAGGGTGGTGCAGGACCGTGCAAGGTTCCACTCTGTTGTGCATAAGGTCGCTGTGGGTTGGACCCAACTCGATGGCACCTAACAACAACAAGAACAACAACAGTCCATTGTGAATGTATGTGTATTTATACATATACACAGTATACATTTGAAAGTTCGTGTAGGAAAACCTGTTGGACTATCTACTTCACTACTGGCTATCTCTGAGCAAAGGAAATAATCACTAGGACGGACATGAAGAGGGGTAGCAGTTGGCCGACTTGCATTTTCTACATTCATTCTACTAGGTGTGGATTTTTACAAAGCACACGTATGAATTTTGTAAACAAATATTGCCAAAGTTTATACAAGTAGATGTATAGAAACATACACTTTTGGCAGTCTACCCCATCTTATAAATAGAGCCGCGCGGTGCTGTGGCATAAGCGATGGACTATGATCGAAAGGTCGGTGGTTCAAACCAGCCACTCCACTGGACAAAGACAAGGCTGTCTGCTCTGTGAAGATTCCCAGCCTCAGATGCACCATAGAGAGTCACTAGGAGATGGAAGTGACTCTATGACTGTGGGCTTTTTTTTTTTATTAATCTCATCTGACATACTACAAGAAAACCCAGTTCATTTTGTTTTGTTTTCAGAGTGATGTTCAATCCAGAAGCAGTGCAAAAATCCCCTGCTTTGAAAACTTTTCTCGAGCTATCTATGAACACACTGGACTCTTTGTTTTTCCTATAACGGAATAGCATCTTTGTGCTATGCAGTCCTGGGCCACACAATAATTCCCCTATTGCCCTACTCACATGTACATTTCTAAAATGCTCACTAATTCAGTGTGATATGCACATCAAGATTCCTGGAAACATAGTATGTTGTGGGAAAAGTGAGAGCAGTTCAGTGCTTTGGAAATTACATCCTATCCCCTCTGCTCTGTGAACACGGGGTGGGCTATTCCTGAGGCAGCTTCACTATCCGGTTTGATTTAAAGGAAGGCATGTAGGGGACAGGTCTACTGACAAAAGAAAAGAGGCCTGTGATTGAAAAACAATCGCTTAGACTGGTAAGGAAAACGACCAGAGCGCTATCAGTGCTGCTTATTGGATTCTTTCACATCAGTTAGCATACTTTTCTCTATGATATGTGCATGGCAACGATGTCATTTGAAAGTTGATACAGCAATTTGAGACATAAGTGCATCCAAGCAAGAACTTAATCTTTTTGCTCAGGACTTAATTCTATGTTGACAGTTGTAACACAGTTACCATAACCACAGAGAGCCTCATATTACCCAGCAGGCGCAGCCAACCCTTTCAATTGCAGCAGAGAAAGGGGGGGGAGAAAAAAGCTAAAAGTAATTCAACCTGTTTCTTTAATGAAAGCGACTTCTTTCTTTTTGGCTGTGTTAACTTTCTCAAAACGCAGTAAAAATATTATTTAAAATCAGCTTGATAGCTCTCAGTTTCTAAATGGCATACTAGAAATTAGGAATATTGGGCACTTTTGGTTGATTTGATTTGGTTTAATGGCCAGGAGTGGGGCTGGACTTCAGAGTACCACAAAACCCGTGACACAGCATGGAAACACTGCACATGGGTGAATGGGCCAGCAGAGGAAGGTACAGAGGCCTATGAGCAAAAGAAGAGCTAACAACAACGGCTTCTGAGGTACAAGTTAGGACACTATATCTCAAGACTCTAGAACACAGATTTTCTTTGCATGGCAAACCCCACAGAATTCTTTTAAAAAGACATTTACAAGAAATGACCAACTTTCTCCTCCAAACTGTTCCATTTAAGTATTGATTTTTTTCTAGAGTCAGAGTAAATATTATGTTTTAATAGATGAGAGGGCTTCACAAAATTCATGGGGAAATTCCATGATCAGTTCATTGGCTTTTTCCTCGACCTTTCTGAAGGCCTCTCATCTATTTGGCAAGAGTAGAAAACTGTGTAGTTTTGAGAAGTCACAACACGGCCCCCAGGCAGCTGTCTCTCTGCTGGACCGAAAGCCCTGGTTACCTCAGATGGCACAAAGGTGACCGGAACGCGTTCGTCCTCCAGCATGCGTCGGGATGCCTTTTGCCAGTACATATAATCAACGAGAGACTTATGGTCAAAGTTTCCAGTCGGCGGCTTGTCCGTTTGATCTTTCTGGATCATTCCCACAGGAAGCCTGGGGTCGGGCGCCATGACTTCCATTTCAGTTTGTAGTTCTTTGAGCTCTTCAGGGGACAAGTTGGCCAAGATCTCATCTTCATCAAGCTCCTCATCCAAGAGTGCTTCTTGGTCTGCGTTCTTGCTGTGCCCTGACATGATTGTCCTCTTCGATTAGAAAAGAAGAAATAATCAAAAGCGATTAAAACACACACACACACACACACAAAACCTTGAGAAGGTCCTCCTGTTAACAAGTGTCCCAGGTCCACTGCACCTTGAGATAGTTCCCCCCTAAGAATCTCAGTGGTGTGTGCAGAGCAGCGAGGAGACTGCAGCTTAGCTCATGCCGGATCTATATTAAGCAAGGCTTGACTGGCTGGGATCAGTTTATGGAACTACTATGCTGCTCTCTTTTCGGCAACTTGAGTCAGCTGTGTGAATCCATCTGACATTTCAGTACAGCTGCTTACGCTCACCAGTGAGGAACTTGTCTACAGAGGTCCTGCAGGAATTAAAGTAGTTCTTTTCCTATACACTCTCCTGTTTCAACACGCAAATCCAGGCAGCCCATAGAATCACACATAGCCCCATCACCACCACCCCACACTCACATATACCCCGCAGTATTACAAGTGCACACACTTCTTATGTAAATGATTAGGGAGACTTACAATATTCCAGAAAGGAAATCCAACCAGCACCCTGAGTTCTACTGAAGGGAAAAGTTCACTTGACGGTGGAAACCAAGCTCGCGGGGCTTGTTGACTCTGGAAGCAAGTAAAGCTGGCACAGGGCTCTGCTATGTTCCTCATCTGCTCTGTAAGCTGAACCCTCACAATGTGTCCTTATTTGCATTTAGGTACTGTGATCGCACAGATGGCGATAGCCAGCGCTTGAGTTTCCACTATGAAGGAAGAGTTTAATAGTTTGAGTAATTTGCTTTTCGTTATTGAGCATCAATCAAGCCAGGATAGAATTAATAAAAGGAGAAATATAAAAAAAATCCCAAACCATGAACGCCCTAGAAGCCATGAACTTACACACACATACACACATCACTGAGCACAATATATTTGTAAATTACAAATGGCTGACCCTTTGACTCAACAATTCCACCTTTAGAACTGCGTCCTCCCGCTAACTCTCTCATGGGTTAAAGGACAGATAAAATAATTCAATTTTGTGTAGCAAAGGATGAAACGGTATATGTTACATGACATTATCTGTGTGATACAAAGGGAAAGAATGTATGCAAATCTAAAAATTTTAAGATGTAAAATATCATTGAGAAGATACACAAGAAACCAATATAGCTTTTATTTTTTTTATTTTTAAATTTTTTTCCAATATAGCTTTTAGAGATAGGACCGGGTTGTCTAGGGAGGCAAGAACTTAGTTGCCATCAAGTTGGTTCCAGGTCATTGCTATCCAACTTTTCTCCATAGTGTTTAAGGCTGTGACTTTTCAGAAAAAGATCACCAGGCCTTTCTTCTGAGGCGCCTATGGATGGATTTCAACCACCAATTTTTTTGGTTAGTAACTAAGTGTTTAACCAATTGTGCTACCCGAGGACATGGATGGGAATAAGACTTTGTTATTATCTATTCTAGAGGAACAGTGGTGGCATTGTGGTTATGAGTTGGGTTGCTAACCACAGGGTCAGCAGTTTGAAACTACCAGCCCCTCTGTGGGAGAAAGATGAAGCTTTCTACTCCCATGAAAAGTTACAGTCTGGGAAGCTCACGGGTCATTCTGAGTAAGAATAGATTCAACGGCAGTGCGTTTGTTTGTGCTTTTATTGTATACTCTTTAATAATAATAGAATATTGACGTATTTGTATATACATGGAAGTATTTGAAATATTGTAAATGCATCACTTATTCAAGAAACAGTCCTGGAAACCCCAGGTGGTTAGGGACATGCTGTACCCTGTGTGTTCCAGCTCTGTTTGGTGACTCTGAGAGATCCCACAGAAGCCCACTTGTCTAACCCCATAGTTCATGCTTCACTTTTGCTTTGCTTTCCAACTTTGCTCCTGCGAAGGAACCTTGGGCGTCTAATGGCTAATTGCTTGTCTGCTAACAGTTGGAAGCCATTGGTACTCTCCTAGAGGAGAGGCCAGGCCCTGCTCCCATCCAGAGGAACAGCCTTGGAAACTGTATGCAGGCTTTCTGCTGCCCCACAGGGCCACTCAGAGTCGGAATCAACTCGACTGCACGCGAGAGCAGCCTTCGGTGCAATTCATTTCTAAGCGTCATACTTTAGACAGAAATGTGGACCTATCTGTAAAAGAAGAGGACCAGGAGTCTGGGGGCCTGCATTCCAATCTCAGCCTCTCTCCACATGTAATAATGGACAATTTACTTAACCCAGTTTCCTTATTTAGAAAAGGGATCTGGTCCCCAAGTATAGAATTATTGAGAGGCTTATATGAATATGAATATATGTAAATAAATAGGGTAGTAAGCTCACAAGAAATATGTAAATATGCTATTATTCTTGTATTTCATGGGTAGGCACAGAAACATCTAAAGAAAATCAAAAACAATTGTAAAATGTAATACATTTTATAAAGTATTTCATGACAGAAGTCGTTACTTCACTGGCAAAACAACACCACCAACACAACAAAAGGGTGTTTAAAAATCGTGTGTTTCCATAGAGCGCAGCTGAGAGACTTGTAGATGGAATTATAGCCCTATTGGCATGTAAATATGAAGCTGTCCAGGAAAGTGTTCTGGATGGTCCTTGTGAGCTTTCAGATTCAAATTCCTTTCTGATGAAGCCCACCTGTTTTCATGCGACCACTCTGCTCCTGATGATCAAGCTGATTGGGACTTGCAGGGAGGAAGGAAGGGCTCCTGCTAACTAGCATCTTGCTGAATGAGACAGGAAGTGGGCCATTCTTGGCCAGCTGCTTCCACTGTGCGTTGGATCCATATGCTGACGGAAAGGGTTCTGCGAGTGTAATTAGCCGCACTTGACACACAGATGATTTGCAAGCACTTTCTCTTAACGATGCTCTCCACCTCAGCAGCTATTTCTGTCATATCCAGCCAAGAGGAGGCTTCAAACAGTTGGAGCAAGAATGGAATTTCTCCCCACTCTTTTGAAAGCCCACTTGGATCACGTCGTCAGGAGTGGTCATGCACTGGGCCGCTAATCTCAAGGCCAACAGTTCAAACCAATAGCTACTCCTCCGGTCTTTGTGCTCTCATAAAGAGTTACAGTCTCAGAAACCCACATGGGCACTTCTACCCTGTCCTATCGGGTCACAATCAGTCAGCATCCACTTGATAGCAGTGGATAGCATCAAAAGGAAGCAACTACTAGGTAGCTAGATTAAGGGAGGGGGGGTGGGGGTTGTCCCTCCCATGCCTGCAAAGACCCCCGTAGAAGAGGTTGGAAAGAAATCAGGCAACCAAAGTTGACGCCTATGATGATCCCAAATTGAACATGCTCCTACTCAAGCGCTGGAGCCAGGTGGGAGGTACACCTGGGCAGTCCAAACTAGGCCCAGGCCCATGACATCGCCCAGGTGGGCTCAACCCAGCCAATGGGGTCAACCAATACCTTCAACCACACCTTCCCCCAGCCAGGGTGTGGGCTAGAATAAAGGCAGGGAGCACGCTCTGCCTTTGGGAGCACACGCTCTTAGCCTCTTGGGTTCTGGACCTCCCGTGATCACCCCCAGGTTCACACGTATGGATGCTCTCTCTTCCACGTGTTTGTTCGTGCCCAATTGTGAACCTTAGCGCTGCTTCTGCGCGACTTGGCACGCTTCCCTGAAATCACGTGTACCCTTTTGAGACTGTACCACCTGAAACTTGTCCTGTCCTTCCTAAAAACCCACTTGGATCACAAAACGGGCTTCGGCAAGAATTCTTTCATTGGGCAAAGCCAAGAACTGAGGTATTCCCCACTCGAGAAACCTTAGTGTAATTAGTGGAACTATAAGAGTCCCTGCGTGAAGGTTCAAACCCATTCGAAATCACCCCGTAAGATAGGCCTGGCAGTCTGCTTGCAAAAGGGCACCGCCTTGAAAATCCCGTGGACCACAGTTCTTCTTGGCACCCCTGGGTCCCAAGGGATGGAATCAACTTGAGAACAACCATTGGTAACAGATGGGGCTTTCCAAATGATCTGGTTTTGTATGGGAATCCCCTGGAGGAGATTATGAATCATCTGAGCATTCCTGGATCTCACCTAGTAGTTACTGAATCAGAATTCTCAAGAGTAGAACCGACTGAGTCTGCATTTCTTTTTACATCTCTGTAGGTGGCCCTGATGTGTAAAAGGGTAGAAATCACAGCTTTTGCAAAACACTTGTTTTGCAGCTCAGACTCAGAAAACCGAAGGCATTTTGCGTTCGTTCATTCATTCATTCATTCATTCATTCAACAGCCTGCCGTGCCAGGTGCTGTGTTAGACACTACGCATATGAGTAAGCAAGTTGGGCACAGTCACATTAGAGTGGCGGAGACAGATGAGTAAATAATCATTGGTTGTGTTAAATGTTACGAAAGGAAACTGAACCCGAGTGTGAGAGAATTAACAGGAGACCTACTCAGGATAGGGACATCAGGGAAGACTTCTCTGAAGAGGTGACCCCTGGTGCATGGAAAGCAAAGGGAGCAACCTAAGCAGAGGCAACAGTGCAAAGCTCTCAGGCTGGCAAGGCATCAAGATCTGAGTGGGCTCTCATGACCAGACTGTTGGACCTGGAGACGAGGGCGGGGGAAATAGGCAGGAGGTCAGCTCAGGTCAGTTTTTAGGATCCGAACTAAACTGAATTTCGTTCTAAGTGGGATTGGAAATTGCTGGTGTAAGGCAGCAGTGACTCCAGGACAGGCCGAGCCTCTCAAGGCAGGCCTGAGTTTCGTTTCTCTAACAAAGTCACCCTCTCCCCCGAAATGACGCTGACCACACCTGGAAAGGCCCGAGTGATCACAATGACGTTGACCACACCCAGAAAGTCCTGAGTGACCACAATTGGAATGACCGAGAGTGGAGCCAGTCAACCAAAATGACTTACACAACCAATTGTCTCCAGATGAAGTCATTGAACTAGGGGAGGGTGAGGGGAAATAGTTTCACCCAGTTTATGTAACCTGTAAAGAGTATAAAAACTTGGCTTGTGCCCCAGGCCGGGGTC